TCTGTCTGCAATTCAATTCCGATTGATTAGTCTCACGTTAACCAGCGCATACAGGAATAGAGGGCGCCTAGCACATACTAGATTATTCGTGATGTTCCCCGATCCTTCGAGAATATCATGACGTGTTACCAGAGTCAACAATAAGTTGTGTCGCTTTCAACTATAAGTAAGCGAAATGGATGAATTAGAGTGTTTAATTAATTAATATGAGTGGCGCTGTTTCTATAGATGGCGACTAAACATGTTAATATGTGAAAAATTCTTTAGTTTTGGTATCAACAAAAATAGTTATGAACCTAAACTTATAATTTATCTGGGTGAAAAGTTTAACGTTAGGTTAAAAATTTAAATATAAACTGACACACAAAACACACAAACTTGTCAAATTTTAATATGATATTGATATACAGGAAAGATAACCTGCACTTACTTAATGATCATTATGGTAATCCCAATTTAGCATCTTCTGGAACTCACGCCCTCTATCAGTTGAACTAAAACGTTAAATCCCTAGCAGTTGCTAATTTTATGAACTCAAATTACCACTTTCCGGACCTTATCTCGGGGTCGTGACATGAACACTAGTTGAGCACCAGTTTTTCTGCGATGAACCTCTTATGTATATTATATATATTAACCCTTATATATATCACTCGGCTCGGGTTTGAGCTCGAGACCCTTCGCACATTAGGCGACTTCTTTACCAACTGAATTAACCTACTAGAGTTAAGACACAATTCGAACTACCAGCATTTGTTCCTCTTCCTTAAACAAAGCCTGTTCTCGGGCCTTATCTGAGAACTGTGAGACGACCATTTGGAAAAACAATTTTTCTGTAATTTTTATGCATTATAACTCAAGACCTCTCTCACGCTAACGAGTCAGCTGAGTCAGTAAGATTTTTTATCAGCTCAATCTATCACATAACTGGACATCAAGTACTGGATGGTAGCTAGATGTTGTAGTTGTAATTGTCGCTGTGAGCGGGCCACCCTTTGATCTATATAGATATTATATAGATTTTATAAATAATATTATAAATATATCTATATATAGACATATAACAAGGTTACTGCTTATGTAAATGAGGGTTAGGGTGTAGAATTGATTTATCTGGATTTTCAGAAAGCATTTGACAAGGTGCCACATAAAAGGTTTGTAAAAACAAATAGCTCTATAGTTGTGGGGGATAAGTTAGCAAATTGGATAGAAGAGTGGCTGGGTGGAAGAAGGCAGAGGGTTATTACAAATGGAGTTCAGTCAAACTGGATTAATGTCACAAATGGGATACCTCAGGGCTCAGTCTTAGGACCTTTGCTCTTTTTGATTTACATCAATGGTATAGATGAAGGAATAGTCAATAAATTACTTAAATTTGCGGATGATATTAAGTCTGCTACCTGTGAAGAGGATGCTGCTGATTTACAAAAGGATTTAGATCATTTAGTGAA